AAAAAAAAAATTAGAAAATGCATGCTAACAGAAATAAAAATAAAATCACCCATTATCTGCTCTCTATAGTTAAATATTGTTGCCATTTTAAAACATCCTTAGAGATTTTTATAGACATACATTATGTTCTGAAAAAAATTATGTATTTCAAAAATTATCTTGTAACTTTTTTCAGAATCCACTTTGAATGTCTTTCCACGTAAAATAAATATGACATCAATTTTAATAACTGCATACTACTCCACATATGAATTTATGTATCCAAGAACCCAGGTATTCTCTTAAACTCTCAAAAAAATACTCACAGCCTTTAACTCCATATCACCACCCATGTGAAATTCAATGGTTTTGCCCATGATGAATACTCCTTCATTTCCACGCACAATAGCACGCCCATCAACTTTTATATTTAAATCACTGGTAGCATTGCTGGTAATCTGAAAATTTAAAAAAAGTCCTGAGAAGACATTCTAAATGAATGTAAGAATTATTATCAAAGATAGAGAAACAAGTTTCCATCATGAAATACAGAAGACAAGTGTTTTCATTTCTGTTTTATAAATGCAGAAATTAAGATAAAGAGAGAGGACTTATAATGATCGTACAGATCATTAATGACAGATCTAGGACTAAGTCTTTCCAGTGTTCTAGAATATATTCTTTCACATCACCATAAAATAGTAAAATTCTCCTCCCACTTTATAATGTTAGACAATAATTCTCTCCCATTAGTAAAGCAAAGAAAATAAATCATACCCTTTCCGTAGACGCTTTCTGAACATTCAAACTTTTCACTCCCTTTGGCAAATGAAACTCATGAGTTTCATAGTCTGTGCTGAACAAGATATTTTGAGTTCTTGGGTCAAAAAACTGCATACCAATGTCACTGGTAATAGAGGTTTTGTTCTTTTCTACACTGAGTTTTGTTGTCCCTTGCTGAAAAACAATCTTCAGAAAAACACTTTATTGTGAATATGGTTTTGAAGAATACTGCAACCAAAATGCATTAAGAATATTATAAAGAACATTACAAAACATTATTTAAAAGGCTATAACAATAGACCAACTTCAAATATCTTATTTGTTTTTAATTACTTGCTTATACTGCTCTTCACATATAACAACCAGGGTATTAGGGAACACAATCCAAGGCCTGAGTGGTTGTCGTAAGGATGTCTTCTTGAGGTTTTATTCAGCTGAAAACCTATGATACAGCAGACTGTTGGCATGGGCTGCCATTGACCAGGCTGGCCTATTCTCTTCCATATTCTCCCCCAATACAGGGTATTCTAACCCGGGAAAGTGCTTTTTTAATGGCTTCCTTATATGGAGGGGAAAAGAATAACCTGTGTATTCTTAGATACTAATTACGTCATCATAGAAAAACGCTACCATTGAACAAAATCTGGAATACTGAGAAAACATTCAACTTTAATAGCTTATAAAATCAAAAATATTATTAAATATTTAGCAATGGTGAATGTATTTTTAAAACATTCATAAATATATTAGTTTTCTCTGAAGGGAAAAATACATTTTCAATAATCAACTCTAGGTTTTTGCAAAGAATTTTTTTCTAATGCCCCTCTCCCTTCACACGGTATTTCAGTGAATGTGGTAACTTACAGGCTGGTTGTTGCCAGTGATGACCAAATTTTCATTTCGCCTTCCTCCTACGGTGCTCTTATAAAGAGGGTGTATGACGCCCATGTCAGACACCTGCTTAAACCGAAGCAGGCCACTCTCGTGAAATTCCATGCTGTCACAGCCGTTGGGTCCGATGCGGATCACAGCCCAGATAACAAGTGTTATCTGAAAAGGAAAAAAGTCCACTGTTAGTAAGCAGCATAATTTAACATAATCGGAAAACAAATAGAAAGTATAATTGCCAAACACTGAAGACCTCCAAACGTCAAAGGCCTCCTAAAATGTTTAATCCGTGAGGTGAAGGTATCTATCAGTTTCCCGCGGAGTCACAAAAGCAGTTTTATTTTTATTAAAAGTAAAAATGTTGGCTCGGCGCCTATGGCTCAACGGCTAAGGCGCCAGCCACGTACACCTAAGGTGGCGGGTTCGAATCCCCAGCCCGGACCCGCCAAACAA